CAGTTTCCCTCTAAGCACTGCCTTGGGTGCATCCGGCAAATTTTATTATGCTGTATTCTTGTTTCCATTCTGTTCTTTTTTATTTCCTTCGAGGCATCCCATTTGACTCGTGGATTACTTCGAAGTGTGCTGTTTAATTTCCAGGCACTTACCCAGTTTTCCTGTTTTCGCTGACTGGTTTCTGGTTTTGATGTCCACTGGTGTGGCCTCCACCTCTTCACGCCACCCCACAGATGAACAGGATTCACATAACTTCCCAGTATCTCAAAGTAGCATCGTTTCCATTTCCTGCATGTTTTCTCATTTTAATGCATTATTTCAGCTTTGCTTGTTTGAGCCAGGACTCAGGGCTTCTTTCATTCCGTCTCGAGTTTCCCTGTTCATGGAGTTGCTCTTGGACCCTCAGCCGCAGGGAGTCTTGCTCTCGACAGGAATCCCGCACACCTCCCCCTTGGCCTCCGAGCCCCACCACATCCTGCGGTTGGTGGTGTGTGGAGAGAGGCGCTGTCTCTGCTCTCCAAGTGCCTCGTCAGCCCGCACTCCTCCCTCACTCCGTGTCTGTTGTCCGTGCCCCCTGGGACACCACGGGGCTCAGCTCAGGGGATGGTAGGACCAGCGCTTAGTAAGGCCCCGCAGCCCCGGTCACTGTATGAGCACTGCACAGAGACCTGCTCACATGGCAGAGCTGGAATGGAGGCCGGGCATGCACTTCCCGGCCCACGTGTTCCACAGACAAGCTGCAGAGGCCCCTGACCCTCCAGGGCAGGCCCGCTCTGCTTCCAGAGGGGCAGGTGAGCCCCAGGCCATGCCAGTCAGGGTCTGGGCTGGAGTGCAGTGGCCACAATGGACACTGAGAGTGTCTTCATTAAGAGCGAGTGTCTCAGTCTCCCCCAGGGCACCCGCCAGCCACACGGCCGCTGTATGTGCCGACTAGACAGATGGCAGCTCGGGCCGGCCAGACAGAAGGGAGAGGAAGCCACAGCCAGCAAGCAGGCCGCCCCATAAATATTTCCAGCCACAGCCAACGTGTCTCACTGGCAATTTGCTTTTTAAAAAATTGCGCTCTAATTTTAAGTGAGCAGCCCCTAATTACAGTGATTTATGAGGTACCTGGGGACTGTGTGATATTTCAACATGACAGAGGGCTGAGCAGAGATGGATGGGCCGGGTGCCACTCATTCAGCAGGTCCTGCTAATGCCAGAGTGCCGCTGAGGGTGTCGGACTGAGGCGGCCCCTCCCAATGCAGCCGGGTACGCTGGGGGAAACAGAGTCAGAGGTGGGGCGGCCCCTCCCAGTGCAGCCGGGTATGCTGGGGGAAACGGAGTCAGTGAGGCGGCCCCTCCCAGTGCAGACCGGGTACGCTGGGGGAAACAGAGTCAGTGGGGCAGCCCCTCCCAATGCAGACGGGGTACTCTGGGGGAAACGGAGTCAGAGGTGGGGCAGCCCCTCCCAGTGCAGACCGGGTACACTGGGGGAAACGGAGTCAGAGGTGGGGCGGCCCCTCCCAATGCAGACCGGGTACACTGGGGGAAACAGAGTCAGTGAGGCGGCCCCTCCCAGTGCAGACCGGGTACGCTGGGGGAAACGGAGTCAGAGGTGGGGCGGCCTCTCCCAATGCAGACCGGGTACCCTGGGGGAAACGGAGTCAGAGGGGGGGCGGCCCCTCCCAATGCAGACCGGGTACACTGGGGGAAACAGAGTCAGTGAGGCGGCCCCTCCCAGTGCAGACCGGGTACGCTGGGGGAAACGGAGTCAGAGGTGGGGCGGCCTCTCCCAATGCAGACCGGGTACCCTGGGGGAAACGGAGTCAGAGGGGGGGCGGCCCCTCCCAATGCAGACCGGGTACGCTGGGGGAAACGGAGTCAGAGGTGGGGCGGCCCCTCCCAGTGCAGACCGGGTACACTGGGGGAAACAGAGTCAGTGGGGTGGCCCCTCGCAATGCAGACCAGGTACACTGGGGGAAACGGAGTCAGTGGGACGGCCCCTCCCAATGCGGCCAGGTACGCTGGGGGAAACGGAGTCAGAGGTGGGCTGCAGGGCGGGTTGACTTGTTTGCAGGGGGCTGGTGTTTTGCAAACACTGAGTCTGCCTTTGTGTGGGGCTTGAGCTAGGAGAGTAGTACTGGTCACTCCTGCCTGTCCCCGTCCACCCCCGCCCTAACCTGGAGGGCAGTACGGAATCTTAGGGCATCATTCTTCCAGAGCCACTTGAGGCCAGCAGAGAGGAGGTGCTGTAGGAGCCGTGGGTGGGCGACCCGGCCTACCATTGGGAGCAGCTGTCTCGCTGACACTGGCAGGGTGCACCTGTTTCAAATAAAGAATGATCAGAGCTCATGCCTGTAATCCTCACCTCGTGGGAAACTGAGGCAGGAGGCTCACATCAAGACAGGAGTTTGAGACAAGCCTGGGCAACAAAGCTGAAGTCTATCTCTAAAAAAAAAATTTAAAAATTAGCCAGGTGTGATGGGGCACATGCCTGTAATTCCAGCTGCTCAGGAGGCTGAGCGGGGGGGTCACTTGAGCCCAGGAGTTCGAGGCTGCAGTGAACCATGATCATGCCACTGCACTCCAGCCTGGATGACAGTGAGACTTGTCTCTAAAAAATATATATATTTTTAGAAAAGAACGGCCAGGCTCCCAAAGCCTGCCAGCCTCTGAGGACCAGGGAAGGTGAGTGCCTGGAGAACAGCTGTTCTTCGGTCCAGCCTGGCCGGAGTCTGTACCTCAGTGCTCCAGGCCCAGCCAGGTTGCCAGCCCCGGGTTGGGAGGAGGGCGAAGGTGCCGGCTAAGGAGACTTCTTCCCACACTGCCTCCCACCCCTGCCCGGCAGCTGCAGGAGAATCAGCCCCTCTGACATTTAGGGGGAGAAATTCAGAATCAAGAGCAGAAGGCAGAAATGAAAGGATTTTCTCAGTAAAAGGTCAGAGTGGTTTCTCTTGTTTTTGTTTAAAAATGGTTTGTGTTGAACTATGACAAGGCCAAATGTATTAAGGCAGCAGGAACAGGGGGACGGCTCCTGAGAAACAGGAGGTGCAGGAACAGGCCAGGCAGCAAGGTGGAGGGGGGGGCGGCGCCACCATCAGGGCCGGGCCCAGCTCAGGTCCCGGTGGACAGGGAGCTGCCAGGACGAAGCTGGGTGCAGCCAGGCCGCCCTGTGGCTCCTGGGGAGGGTTCCCAGAGGGCTGCCTGCCAGAGGAGTGCTTTACAAGAGTTTCCTGAGCTCTGATGCACACACAGGCGGCTCACCCTCAAGTCTACGGTTCCGTTCTTCCCGGCACATCCAGTGTGCAGCCGCTACCACAGTCTAACTGTGGCGCCTTTCCACCAGCCCTGAGCCCTGATGTGCCCCTCCAGGACATCCCCTAGGCGTGGAGTTGTGCCGACTCGTCTTTGTGTCTGGCTGGGCATGTTTTGGGGGTTTACCCACGTGGCAGCATGTCTCAGAGTTCAGCTGTATGAAGCAGTGTTGACGGGTAAACCCGGTTTTCTCTCTCCAGCGGTTGAGGGCTGGTTCCACTTCCCATCTGTTAGGGATGGGATCGTGTTGCCGGGGACATCAGCGCTCAGACCCCCTGGCTGGGCACGCGGGCACGTGCTGGGCCCATGGACTCCGCGTTCAGCTCTTTGAGGAGCCGCCAGCTGTTTGCAGGAACCGCCCCACACATGCCCCCACCAGCGACGCGGAGGGTCGGATTCCCCTCCACCCAGCAGCTTGTGCTGTTTGCTCTCTGTGGCCGTCGGCGTCAGGCGGGTCCGTGTCTCGCTCAGTGCGGTTCACATTTCCCCGGTGCCCGGCATCCTGGCATGAGCTCGTTGGCCGTGTGTGGCTCTTCTCTGGAAAGATGTTCAAGGGCCCCTTAGTTGGGCCCTGTCGTCTTTATGGTGGAGTTGTGGGAGTTCGGGCATATTCTGGGTTCGGGACTTTTCAGGGACGTGGTTTGAGAGGGAGCTTTCTGGTGGGCTGGGTTTGTGTCCTGCCTGACCTGGGGCTGTGTGGGACACCTGCCAGCCCTGTGGACAGTCGGGGCCTGGGTGCCCACTGGGGCAGAACCAGCCAGCAGGCACCTGGGCAGATTTGGGCATCAGCAAGAAGTCGTTCCTGGTGAGAGCTGTCTGGAGACCGAGCACCCTGGCTTGGGAAGCAGGGGTCTCCCCGTATTTGGGAGTGTGTGTGTCACAGGTGTGTCCCCTCCCACCTGCGGCATCTCTGCTGTGGTCTCCAGAGTGGGAAGTGGGTTCATGCCAGAGCCCTCTGCCCTGTGCCGACCGGGGTGGGGCTGGCTCTCGGGGGCAGCTGGGGAGGGAGAGAGATGACCGAGTCCCTGCTCAGAAGGGCCTCTGTCCACTCCCCACAGCCCAGGATGGTGGCACAGCAGCTCACTCAGACCTGCTGCGTGACCTGAACCCTGTAGGTCCTGCCCTGTGTCCCCTGGCACCTGCCGTGCTATCTGGAAGCTCCTGGTCACCAGGCCATCTCCTCCTTGCCCGTTCTCCAGTTACAGGAGGCTGCCCTCTGGGCTGCAGAACCCACAGAGCCAGACCCCGCCTGGCCCCAGAACCCCCTCACAAATGGGGAAACCTAGGTTGTGGGGCCCCAGGCAGTCTGGAAGGCATTGCGGGACTTGCCCAGGGCGTGGGGTCCTCCAGCCTCAGTGGAGAGTGGCACTGGGGCCAGTCACAGGTGCGTAGACAGGTGCTGGAGCCCCCCAGGCGGAGGAGGAAAGGGCGAGGCAGCAGCGCCTTGGGTGGGCACACCCCGCAATGCCTGGGACCCCCAGCTGCCTGTGCACATGACAGTGTAGACGACAGAGACCCTGCCCTGGGTTAATTCAGTCCCTTTAGGTGACCTGGAATAAGGCCTGGCAGGGTTAAGGACACATCTATCCCTGTCCTCAGGCCAAGGGAAGCCCCCATGGCTGGAGGAGCTGTGTAGGGAGGGAGGGGAGAGGGAGAGAGGCCTGCCAGGCTGACCGCTGTCCTGTCTCTTACCTGCCCCACAGGCCACCAGCCCCTCGGGCTCCAAGATGCAGCTGCTGGAGACGGAGTTCTCGCACACCGTGGGCGAGCTCATCGAGGTGCACCTGCGACGCCAGGACAGCATCCCCGCCTTCCTCAGCTCGCTCACCCTCGAGCTCTTCAGCCGCCAGACCGTGGCCTAGCCTGCAGCCACTCCGCTCGGCCGGACCTGCGGGTCCCCTGCCCCGCTAGCCACAGGCTGGGTGCACGTCCTGCCTCTCCAGCCCCGCGGCAGCGGTATGACTGACAGACACGCCGAGACCTACGTCAGACTTCTGCTGGGGCGGCCAGCACCCTCCCCACGTGCAGACGCTGTGTGTCCCGGAGCCTGGTGTGCGGGCGTCGGCTGCCAGCCCAGGTTCCTCACCTTGTGAAATAAAGTCTTCTCCCCCAGACAGTCCACCCACCCTGTGTGTCTGTGGCCCAGCCCTAGCAGGGTGGGAGGGAGGAGCGGAAGGAGCTCTGTTAGCACACCACCATCCGTAGCCCAGCGTTGCGGGGGTCAGGCATCTCCACTCAGGGAATGCACAGCCAGCGCACAGGTGGCAGCTGGGACCAAGGGTGGCCGGGGTGCCCTCCCCACCACCATGGGCTGAGGCCCCTCCGCTTAGCAGCTTCCAGCTCTGCCTCGAGGCCGGGCCCCAGCTCCGGGGCTTCCCTTTGCTGATGGAACCCGGATGGAGGCACAGGGGTTGGGGGGACTGTCTTCACAGATAAGGGCGCATCGAGGGGAGACTGCCCTCTGTGCCCGTCACTCCAGGGCCAAGGGAGGGCCTGGACCCGGCTGGCAGCACCAAAGCCAGGGCCGTGCGGTGACTCCACCCCACAGGGCAGATGGAGCACCTGGCCCTCGAGGCTGGAGAGCGAGTCCCCTCCACTCGGCTCGGCAGCCCCGGCCTTAGAGGTACAGGTGCCCCTGTCTGAGCCCAGCAGAGGGGAGCCGGTGCAGCCAGGGGAACGGCCTCGCTGCAGAGACGCCGCTGCTGAGACGAGGGAGACCTGAGGCAGGGGCCAGGGGAGGAAGGACCGGGGAGGGTGGCCCCTGCCTCCTGCCTGCGAACTGTGGGCCAGGGCCATGCCCAGGGCTGCCGCCTCCACCCAGACTCCTCAAGGGTGAGGCAGCTCCAGCTCTGCCATCCCCGCCTCACCCCCTACTTTCCACTCCCAGCACCCCCCGCCCACCATTAGAACACTCCACCAGCCTCCACAGACCCCACTCCCGGCACCCCCCGCCCACCATTAGAACAC